GGGAGGGGGTCAGTGGGGGAAAAAATGGGACATCTGCAATACTTGCAACAATAAAGAAATTAAAATAAAATAAAAACTTTAAATAAATTATTCTTTTACCTTTAATATCAAGGGATGTGGGTTTGACGGGACTTTGGTAACAATGAAGCTTCTTAAACCAATGTCAAGATTTACATCTCCCTATAATTCTAATCGTACAGAAAACATCTCCTCCAAGTGTCTTTTTTAAATGCATTATTAAAAGTTAAATTACTCGGCATGACGTTTTAAAAACAAGCACTACTAACAAGAGTCATAACGACTCCGAATGTCAGGGTACCGGAGAAGTGGTAAATTTAGTGATGATTTATAGAATGATTTATAAAACCCACAAACGCTCTTTGCATATGACCCTGAAAGACAAAACAGCCCGCGTCCTCAATTAGGCACAATCTAACTAAAACGACTTAGTTTTGCTGTAAAAAGAGCGTTTTAATGGGCATTTCAGGCCAAGAGGGGCCAGTTTACGACAGCCTGTCATTAGCGGTGCATTAGCCTCCGCCCGGCTCACCGTCCACGCGCCGGTGGGCGGCAGTGTCGAGGGTGAGACGTTGGGAAAGGTCGTTGGGACGGAGGGAAACGGGAGGCCGCCCCGGCCTGAAGTCACTGTCGCGAGCGGCACGTGCGCTCCGGCCTCTAAAGGCTGTTACAAGGTGACAGATGACTTGGTGTGAACACAGTGTGACCATTTTCTTTTTCAGAATGAACACAGGCTGATGGAAAGAGCTGCAGACTCTGCGACAGAGAAACACGTTCCCTCCCCCACCTGCCGCCCGGGACCTGGGTCGGGCCGGGCATCACCTCGGGCATCACCTCGGGCATCACCTCGGGGCTCTGCCGCCCCATTTGCACAATGAAAAGCTGAGCTCAGAGCCTCTCGGGTAATCCAAGATCTAAAATCCTCAAACGCTCAGCAATTTATATCCACAGGAGCAGCTCCGTGACATTTCTCTGACGATCCTTTCAACAGCGTGGTTACTGCTATTTTGCCATATTTTGCTCTGTGTTTGAATGGAGGCTGAATTTTCTCCACACTCTAAATCTCCAAAGTCTCTAGTTTGGTACTTTATACCCATTGAGCATTCAAAAAAAAATATATATATATATATATAGAATGGATACAAGAAACATTTCGCCGGCATCCGTTTTTCTGCTTCTCAAGTATCCTTGAAATTCACTTGCATTTTATTTTCTTCTCAGGAGGTTTGAATCCACTGCCACTTCCCGGAAACAATTCTGTGAGTTGGGCCAATGCAGGAGGCACATTTCATCCCCGTGGGGACGGTCAGTGGTTCAGGGGCGGGCGTGTGACCGGACCTGGAGTTTTTGCTTTGAGGGCTGGGCCCTGCTCCCTCCTTTGACGGTATCGCGTCCACGTGTAGGGCCTGGGGCAGCTCAGCCAGGCCAAGGGTAGAGCTGACCCCCAGAGGCCCGCCGGGTGAGGGGGGGGCGGCAGAGGACGCCCCGGAGCCTGATAAACGGGGTGCACCTGGGTTCCGACCTGCGCTTGACCCTCCACTGCCTTCGGGATGTTGGATTCATGAGGAACTGCACTTGTTTTTATTTTCTTTTTCCCCTTTTTATTGACTTATTGGGTGACACTGGTTAACAAAGTGACACGGGTTTCAGGCTCTGCATTTACTGCTCGGTTAGAGGCAGTTTAAGCCATTCTCTTTCCTGCGCAGCTGAGGTTTCCGGCGCCCCGTTAGCGCCCGTAGACTTCATGTGAAAGGCCCGAGAGCAGCACCCTGCGGGGCCCTCACACTGTGAAAAATTCACTGTTTAAATACTTTGTGCTGTTTCATGGTTTGACCTCAAACCTATAATTGGCCTTTTCAGTAAACAAAATCCCTTAACTTACAGAGCTCTTCCCCTTTTCACGAAACCGTCACTTTGAAAATAGTGTTTTGGCCCCTAAGAGCAGGTTTATAATATTTGTCTTGCTCAAGGGACAGGATTTCCAAACAGTTACAGCTGAAGATCTGAAGATAATAAAATGGTTTCCATCTTCATATACTTGTTACGAAATCTGTGCCCGGCCCCTACGCCTTCCTTCTCTACCTCGAAATCCTATTTGCATTGTTCACCAAGTAAAAGGCTGAAAAGTCTGTCTCTCCCACCCTGTAACCACCAGAAAAAGCCAAATGATCTGCAAAAGTATAACTGTGTGTGTGTTTTAATAAATCAGAGAGCTCAGTTTTCAGGGCAAAAATGCCCCCTGGAATCTAAGCAGAGTCGGCTGCCTCCAAGGAGAGATCACAGCTGAAAGAATCAGCTAAAAATCAATGAAAAGTTTCTGAAAGGGCTGAGTGACGGCGGCTCTGAGCTTACAGACCCCGTAGGAGCCTCAGACTCCAGGAGAGTCCACACCAGCCTCAGACCCCGACTGACGGCCCAGGACCGAGATTCCAGAGGAGGGGCAGACACTGGGGGCAGGGTGATGCCCTGGGTCCCGGTGCCCTGTCCACTGCAGAGCCAAAGCTGACGGCATCAGGGGAAGGGCAGCGAACCCACCATCTTCAGGGCACAGGTAGGGACCCAATGAGCTGGGGACTAAGGTAGAGAAACAATAAAACCTTCCATCCCTGGGCTGGGACAGGAAAATGCCGAGTCTAGACCATTAGAGACACCCCCCCCCCCCCC